TTTCCTCCTTTTTTTTTTTTTTTTTTTTTTTCCTGTGGGCAATTAGGCAGATTTTGCCTTTTTTTTTTGCCTTTTTTTTCCCCACCTTTTTTTTTTCCCTTTGCCTTCTGCCCCCCCTTCTTTGACTTCACCTCTTGGAAAAGAAAGGGACTGGACCACTCAGGAGCTCCTGGGGCTGCACCCAGAGCTGGGCTGTCACCACGGGGCAGGGGACCCTGAATGGGGCTTGCCACCTATCCCGGGGCCACTGGACACCTGCTCCTGGGCACCGGTGGCAACCACAGCCTGGCAAGGCTAAAGGGCAGTGATGTCCCTGTGCCGGGGTGGCAGATAAGGAGCAGGTGGTGGGACCAGCAGCAGAGCCAGCCACAGGCAGCATCCCCACTGCCTAGATGGGTGACCACAAACCGGTCGCACCACCCTGACGGCCACTGGTTCCCCCTCTTTCGCCAGCACTAATAACAGCTTTTCCACACGATAAAGGCACCTGACGCCACACTCTGCTGACAAGCATCCTGTGGGGCCAAACCCAGGATGGAGTGTGCCACCGCAGTGCTGCCGCCTGCCCCTCTGACCAGCCGCTCGTGCTCCTCACCAAAATCCTCTTGATCCGCAGATCCAGCGTGTGCTTCCTCGGCGGTCACAGTTTTCGACGTGAGTGCTTCGTTTGTACCCCCAAATCCCAGAGGATTCTCTCTGCTCCAAGGTGAGGGGACGGCGGACAGGGGGACATCGTGGTGGAGCCTTCCTGGGGGTGGTTTGCACCCTGTGGGGTGCAGGAGACGGGCCATTGCAGCTCCCCGGCTCATTGACATCGCATCCTGAGGCCACCAGTGTCCCTTCATTGAGCTGCCACATCCCAGCTGCCACAGTCCTCTTCCCGTTGGAGACCCTTCGCAGCACCATCCCGAAAAACAAGGAGAAACCTGGCATTAGGAGAGGTGCCCCGTGGAGAGGGGGTGGGACGGCTCCTTGCCCCCGCGCTGCTGTTTCCGGGGCAAATCCAGGTAAGGGGATGGGAGGGCAAGTGGCCAGAGCAGGCAGCAGCACCAGAAGGTGTTATTTAACTGGGTGTCGTGGTTATTTCATGCAGAAGCTGTTACCTGTGAGAAACAGACCGGGGGGGCAGAGGGAAGAGATGGGCCATAAATCCATGGGGTGACCCCAGCTGGGGCTCAGGAATTAATGCTGCTTCTGAGTAGGGACGAGTCTCCTGTCCCCATCTCGGCAGCAGCCTCTGCCTCCCCCAGGGCGGGCAGGAACATCCGGCTTTGATTTTTGGGAAGCACACGCGCTTGCTCTCGCTTGTGCTCTCTTGCACACTTGCCTTCTCCTTTCTGTTTCCCTGAGATGCCCGTTCCTCTCTGCTGGCACGCACTCGGGATTTAGTTTCGACGAGGCGGAGGGGATCTCTCATCCTGGGCTGGGGACGTGCCTGTCCCAGACGAGCAGGGACATGCCAGCAAGGCCAGCGCCTGCCGGGAGGCGGCAGTTCCTTGTCCCCCTCCTTGTGATGAGGGAGGATATTCTGGCTTTTCTCGTCCCCCGGCGCTGGCAGTGTAGGTGAACCCCGGGGTAAGAACCAGTCCTGCCGAGACAGGGCAGGATGTGGCAGCTGGCTGCGATGGGGCAATAGATGCCTGCCCGCCTGGGGCTCGCCAGGGTGACCCTAAGCCCTGTGGGGATGAACCCTAAGCCCCAAATCCCTCCGGTGTGGATGAGGACCGGGGTACCCTGTGATTATGCCACCAGCTGAGCCCCGGGGTGCTGGATGCCACTCGCTTGGCTGCCCGGGCAAGCGCGCCGGGCTGTCACCGCCTTTAGCCGGCTTTGAGGGCGGCAGGAAGTGCTAGGGCCGGATCTGGGCACACAATGGTCCCTTTTCTGCCCCACTGCGGGGTGATGCACGAGCAGGGTGCCGGACGGTGCCGAGCCCTCCCCGGTGCAGCCGCAACAGCCGCTCGCCTCCCCTGGGCACAGCCATGTGGTGACAGGACGGGACCCCAGGGGTGGCAGCACCCTGCCGGTGGGGTTCCAGGGGACACTCAAAGTCCCGGCGCATCCGGTGCGACTGGGAAAAGGCAAAAAGCCAGAGACAGTGCAATGACTCCATGGTTATCACGCAGAGGGCGGGGAAGCAAAAATATCCCTGCCATTAAAGCCATTTAGATAAGGTGGACCGTGGGGAGGGAAAGCAAGGGGAGGTTGCAGGAGGGATGAAGAGGCACCAGCAGAGGGATGCTAGGACAACCCAGGGAGCAGACGGCCGGGTTGGGGATGTGGGGTCACAGTGCTCCACACCCCGAGGTGAGCCCTGGATGCAGGAGGTGACAGCCCAGCCATCACGGGAGGAGGACAAGGGTGCCCGGTAAGAGTTGGCCCCGCAGGGGGGAGAGGAGCCGGATGCCACCACCGGGGGACCAGCCATCATCACCCGCTCAGCTAGCGGCACCCCACCACCCCAGCTCCCACCATGCTGGGCTGGCGGTGGCATGGCGGTGCAGGGGCCGGGCACGGGGCCCGCGGTGACAATGTCCCCGTTGAGGCCCGCGCTGCAGATGGAGACAAACGGCCCCCTTGTTTTCGGCGCTGGCAGGCAGGGAGCAGGCAGGGAGCAGGCAGCGGGCTGAATGCCTCCTCTGTGCCGCCGGGAGTGGGTGGGGAGACAGGAGGCTCGGGGTGGCAGCGGGCACCCAGGAGCTGGCCCGGCTGTCCCGGGTGAGCCGGGCAGAGCCCGGCCACAGCCCCACGTCCCACTCGGCAGCACCTCTCATTTCTCTCTTTTCTCTCCCTCCCCAGGCTAGCGGTACGGGGCTGGGACCCCGGTGATGCCGTAAGAACCGCGGCTAGTGGGGAGGATTCGGAAAAGCCGGAGTTTGCGGCGAGCTGCCCGGGGTGAGCTTATTCCATGTCGGAGAAGCATCGGCACCCCTGCCCCGTGCCACCCACTCCCCCTGCCCAGGAGAGGAGAGGGACGGCTCGCCGAGAGCAGCTTAAGCAAAGGAAAAGGTGATGCTTGGGGGGGCGGCGGGACGCTTGGGGGGTGGCTCTGTGAGGCAGGGTGGCACATGGGGACGGGTGTTTGCACCCATGGGGGCGTGCGAGGGGGGCAGGGGGGTAGGAAGCACCGTGGCGGTGTGAAATTTGGCATATGGGGGAAAAAAAAGAGCGTGGCCATGGGCTTGTAGGGGCAGGAGGAGCAAGTGGCAGGTGGATGCACCGCGTGTACAGTGGCTGTAGGGATTTGGCCGAAAAGGAAATGGTTCATATAGGGAAAACCCAAAAGAAGGCTCGGGGATGCCCCCAGGGGCTAGAGGAGCTGCTGGGACGTGAGGACGGGACTGCAGAGCCAGGTGGTCCGGGCCGTCCCGGGGGGTGGCCCGTGGGAAATTGGCCTGTGCAGCCTTGTTTTCCAGCTGGGAATTTCATCTGGAGCTGGCGCCACGGCTGCCCCGCACTAACGGGAGCCCCAGAAAAATCACCTCAATCGCCTCATTTCTCCCAGCCAGCTTATTAATAATTAAGCCACTCATTTAAGGCAAAGTCAATAGAGCAACTGGGTTGGGAACTGTTTGCCAGATCCACCCCGGGAGAGCCAGCCTGGGTGGAGCGAGACATCCCTCGGCACGAGGGACGGGTGCTGTGCCACCCCGGGGGGACGGTGGGCAGAGAGGGGGGATTAATGGTGCTGGATCACTGGCTTCATGAGGGTGGGTGGCCGTGCTGTACCCTGCAGGGCGGTGGCAGGGACAGCCCTGAGCCGGTGGGACACAGCACCCACACAGAAAAATGCCCGAGCAGCTTTTCCAGGTGGTGCCAATGCCAGCACTGCGGATGGTGACCGTGCTGCGATCACAGCCACGGTGTAAAACCAAACCCTAGCTGCTCCCAGGCTTGCAAAACCCGCCGGGCTTCACACCCACACTGTGATTTAGGGGCAGAGCCACCCGCTTCCCCACGGCTACACCAGACACCCCCTCTGTCCTCGCATTCACCAGCGGCTCGGAAAACCAGCTGGGAAGAGGGTGGATGCAGCCAGCCCTGCCTGACCCCACGGTCCCTGCTGCAGGGTACAGGGGGGAGCACTTGGGTGAGCTTGGGTGTGTATGTGGGGTTCCCCCACCCCACAGACATCTCCCGGCTGCTGCACTGGGTGCCAGGAAGAGCTGTGCCCGGCGCCTGGCTGCAGCCTCAGGCTCCGGTTGCATTTTCCATTCGTTATTCATCGAGCTGGAAATCTCAGCAGCAGGAGGCGAGCCAGGGGAGGGGGACCAGAGAGAAGCAGGAGGCAGGCGGGAGCAGCGGGCCGAGCTCGCCGTGCCCTGGGCACCCTTTGCACCAGACAGGTAACCTTTCTGCTTGGGGTTTAGCTTAGAAATCCCAGGGGGTCTTTGCTACGTGGGGTCTAAACGGCAGCTAGGTATAAACCATGGCTCTCCCAGATGGGATGTGCTCTCACTCAATTATTTGCTGGAGCTACGAGGCTCTAAGGGGGCGATGGCATGGGGGATACGAGGGAGCTGGGGGGTTATTTGTCAGGGTATTATTCAGCGGGCAGGCGGGAGCGTGGCTAGCCTCAGCCAAAGGATGCTGCGGTGCCAGAGCAGGGTCGGAGCCAGCAGGAAACGAGGGGGGGGGGGGGGCGCCCAGGGCTTTGCCCTCCAGCTCGGGGGGTGCTCCTGGATGTGGGGCTCTGCTGGCAGCCCTCAGAGAGCGAGTGCCGCGGTCACGGGTGACATGTCCCCTTGGCCAGCCGTAGAGGACAGCCCTGCTGCAATGCGGTGGCTGGCGTGCCGGAGCTGCCTGTGGCCCTGGCAAGCAGCGGAGGCAGCTG